CCACGTCCAAATCTACACCTGCCTAAGGCGGCCAGACTTTGTTAAAAATTATGCATTTTCCCCTGACGTTGTGGACAAGCCGCCATAAAATTCTTTCACCTGTCGTTGTCAGTCCCTCCAATGGATGAAACGGTCATGTTGCGTAGGTCACTCCCAATGTTTACCCAAGTTGACCAATGGGTACAATAAATTTTCAGCTGCTGGTAAGGAAACGTGTGATCAGAGCTCTCTGGTGTAACTGTCATCAACTATAAGGCCCGCCCACAACTCAGTCTGTAAACCAAATCCTTAACAATTGAAGTCAACACGAACTCGCGACAAAAGTGTTGCTCGTTCGCCGAATTGTGGCGACCCAGTTATTTGTTTTACTATGAACTTGGCCTTCCTCGTCTGAAACATTTAGTTTTGTTTTGATCTTTCCCGGGACCTTATTTGGAAAATAAAACTAAAACTAAAACAAAAAGACCCACAAAAACCGTCATATCCTCTCCCCCCTTTCAAAAGAAATACAACAACAACACATTTTAATCAGCCCTAGGGCAGTCCTTAGCATGCAACCACTTCCAGTTGGGACCTCAGGAGTATTTAGAGCTTTTTTTTGTTTGAATATTGATCTACTGTCCTCGGCCCTTAGACGGCCGCCTTAGTATATATATATAATACCGCCAATTTTCCCCTTGACAATGTGTGGCCATCTGTCTTACACAGATTCCACTGAAGGCTGATGAGTAGAGAAGAAAATAGAAACAAAATTAATTGTCTACTAAGTTACTACCTGGTGGGACTGGCTTGTTTTTGACTAGACTCTGTTGTAATAAGGTTGTCATTTTTTTCAAGTAATGTTTATGACTGACAGTTTTGTGTTGTCTGTGTTCTGAAAGAGTCGAAGTTCTGTACTATAATTAGTAGTCTACTGTCCGTCTCTAGTGTTATTTTTTTTCTTCTTTTAAAATAGCAGTTTATTATTTATTATTAGGCAATACTTTTTGATGGAGGCATTTTATGATGGAGAAAGAAGTAAATTGAGACTGTGTCAGGTAGTCTTCAGGCCGGTATGCAAGGTGGTCTGGTTTGGCAGAGTTTCGTAAGTTCATAGTTTTCTCTTAATTTTTTTGACTGATTAGCCAATGAAGTTGGTGCTGTGTCAATAAGAAATGACCGACATGCTAAGCTTTTCAGTTTGCCAAATATAACTTTATAACCCTACTTACTACTATTATTTGGTTACAATATTTTAACTTTAACCTCACTTACAAATTAATTGCGGGAAAAAGGATATATATTAAAATACTTTTAAAACATTCAGGTTTTTTAAAAACAAATTTTGCGTTACTTTTGAGTTTAAGATATATTTCTTCTTATTTTCACTTATTTTTATTTTGTGGATGCACATTAGGTCTTAGAAGGTGAAACTTGTGGTGAAATGTGAATGTCGCGGTTTTCCTTGTTGTCATACTTTTCCTCTTTCTTTACTCCTTCCTTTTATGAAGAACTGAGAGCAGAAAATGACAGTTCAGTTTGTTGTCTATTTATTTTAATGTTTTGAAACAACGATAAACTTCTTTGTGCAGTTTTCATATTGTATGGGTGGTCCGTGGTTCTTATAATAGTCTTTTTCTTAGTAAAGACTAGAGACAGTTTATTATGGTTGCTATCAAAATTCAGTAGCAACCCAGAGAGATGCTTTTACTTTTAGCATAGAGGTTCCCCTGTACTGTGTAGTACACCCGGTGATACATGATCCCAACGGTAATAATTCTACTCATGGACCCATCTCATGCTCAGGTATATATTCGAAAGTATTGTTCTTGTGTCTTGTTCATTTTTATCTGATAATGCAAAATAGTGCATTAATTGTGTGCAAGTCTGGAAGTAAAAATTTACCGTCTTTTCTTTCAATTCTTATCAGATACAGTTGAGTCTGCTCTGGCGACCACAAAATCACTTCTACACATAATGTTCAATT